TACCCCTTCACCTGCCCACCCAGCCACCCGCCCATCTACACATCCATTTATGCATGCCAAAGGCCCCGCACTTAGCACTGGGATTTGTAACGGAAAGCTTTTATGCTTAGAAAGCTCTGGTTTGGTCACTTCAAGAATAGCTAAGTAAGAACACTTGTTAAAACAGCACTTATGGAAATTCTAGAAGTCTATGGAAGGCATATGAAGGAGTGTCTGGTGTTGGCCTGAGAGGACACAGGTGGACAATGGCAGGGTGAGTCACTGATGGTCATTAAGTCACAGAGGCACAGGAGGGTGGGGGAGAGAACGGCCTTCTCACCAGAAAGTAACGATCCTGGGAGTCTTCCACACTGTCCCTAGAGCCCTGGACAGCATATTTAAAACAGTCACAAAGGCAAAGAATCAGGAATTAGCCTTTTAATACGAAAACCTAATGGAGGCCCCCAAGTGAGTGATGAAATCATTTCACAGGGTTGATTTATAGGGGCCTCTGTCCATAGATTACAAACCTTACATTTCACTTGAGCTGTAAGAAGGATGTAAGCTCGAGTGATTCACGTGGGTTGGATGTTTGTTAGTCTGAGAATCGATTTAATAGAAAAAAAGAAAGACTGAATCAAGACTGGGGATATATTAAATTCATATCACCGTAAGCCGTCTTTTTTGGTCCTCGAGAGCTAAGAGGCTCCAGGCCCATCCGGTCCAGCTTCTGCACAGGAGGCTGGGGTCTTGCTTACTTCAGCAGTGGTGAAGCTACATTATTCTCATTCACGACAGCCGTCCTTGGGCTTGACTGACAGGTGGCTTACCCCCGCTGGGATTCCCACCCTTCCCCTTTGCCCCCCCCACCCCGTGTAACTGAACAAAGCAGGTGCTTTGTCCCCTGGCCTGTACTTACTGACTCTAGCCCCACCCTCCAAAGAGAGAAATTCACTGTGATAAATTGTATTATTTGTATTGTTTGCGGATTGGTTCCACTTCTGTGTGAGGGTAGGTGGATTTCAGCGAATGTATTTATTCTTTTGACCTTTGGATCTTTAACGGGAGGCAGAATTCACTTATTGGCAGTAGAAGGGTGAAGTGCCAGCCTCTGGGGAGCTCTGTGCACGCACGGCAAATAGACTCAAGTGCTGGCGGCCTGGCTGCTGGCTCACTGTGCTGTTAGTAAGGTGAGGGTGTGTACACACGCCTGGCTCCTTCACTGCAGGTGGCTCCAGTGCATTTGTAAAGTGCTGCCACTGTTGTGGGGACCTGCTGTTACGCCAGTCGTGGACGTGGCCCTCCTTAGGGACCGGAGAACCCACACCCCCCCAGTGGTGGTGCTGCTGCTGTTGCTGGCTGGGTGGCTTCAAGCCACTGGGTCATCTCTGCCCTTCAGCCAGCGAGGTGTCAGGATTCCGGAGCAAAGCAGTGGGAACACAGGAGCGCAGATCGCAGACAATGCAGGTCACCCATGAGGAGGCCGTCAAAGGAGGATGAAAACTAGGCATCTCACGTCTCATCCTCCAGGGGCCAGCAGGAACCCAGAAGGCCTGACTCCTAAGTTAGTGGAACGTGTGTATGCGTTGGAGGTAGAGATTAAACTGCAAAGGATGCTGGGGGAACACTGATAATGACAACTACAGATGCTGAGCCAAGAAAGCTGGAGAAAAGACAAAAAGTTGTTTAACAGTGTAAGAACTCAAACTTCAATTATTTATGCAAGCTGCTTATAATTTAGTAACGTGCTTACTTTAAAATGCATCTCATTTATTTGAGATTTTTCTTTTCTCCTTTTGGTTTGTTTTTGTTTGTTTGTTTTGTTTGGTTTTTTTTTTTTTTTTCTGATGCAGGGCTTCTATGTATAGCTCTGGCTGTCCTGGAACTCGCTTTGTAGAGCAGGCTGGCCTCAAACTCAGAGATTTGCCTGCCTGTGTCTCCCAAGTACTGGGAATAAAGGCGTGTGGTACCACTGGCTACTGGCTGGCTATTTGTGATTTTTATTTGATGAGGGTTTTTTTTGTGTGTGTGTGAACAAGTCTTGGATTTTTAGACCTGATGTCTACTGTTACTGTTACTCTTATATTTGACTTGTTTTCTTAAGTCCATCAGCCCCATCCTGTTTTACATACTTAAATGTGACCTTTTTAAGATCAGCCACTTTTCAACTTTTCTCATCAAAGGGTGGGTATTTGCTTATAAGTTCATCAGTAGAGCAGGCGGCATTAGAAGATAGATTTTCCTCCTTAGTTCACCTGGGGAGCATAGGCACTTACATCCACAAATGCCGCTATGTAGCATGTGTGAGTGCTGCCTGCAGCCTCTGATGGCCTGTTTCATCAATGAGGTGAGATGAGGGGGAGGCCGTAGACCTGAGCATACAGAGGAGGAAAGGCAGGGGTGTCTGGGGAGGAACCAAGTGCTTCCTGTGTGCAGTTGTAGCTGTGAGAGGCTCCGAAGACTCAGAAACATCTAGGTCTGTTAGTGTATCCCTTATGAGATGAGGAAGTTAGAAGGGGGAATGGACTGGAGGGCATTTTAGATCGATTTGTACCTATTTTGGACTTTAGCAGGTGTCAGGTTAGTTAACTGCTAAAAGATGACCTGTGGTTCCGTCAATCGACTCACGTTGGAGAGTCAGCGCTTGCTAGACCAAGAACATCTTAGAAATCTCAGGCTTTTCAGCTTTGTATAACCAGGGGCAGGCACTCAGAATAAATATGTTGGCTTATATATGCGAATTTTCTTTCTTAAGAACTTCTGGGGACACGGGGTTAGAAGGATAGCTTAGCAGTTACATTACTACTCTTCCAGAGGACCCAAGTTTGGTTCCCAGCACCCACTTCATGGAGCACGACTGGGGATTTGATGCCTCTGGCCTCCAAGGGCTAGCCAGGAAGCTGAAGCAGGGAATGCGAGTTGAAGGCTAGAGCTGGTGGTGTGGGTCTATAATCCCAGCTCCTCAGGAGACCAAGACAGAACGATTGCAACTACAAGACTGGCTTGGTCAGCTTAACAAGACTTTGTTTCACAATTAAAACAAACAACAGGGTGGATAAGATATAGCTCTGTGACAGAAAATGTGCCTAACGTGTCCTAGGTTCAATCACAAGCACTACCAAACCCAATCAACCAACCAACCCACACAGGAGGAGTTCAAGGCTAGCCTAGGCTACTACTCAATGAGACTCCATCTCTATCTTCAACAACAGACAAATCAGTAACTGGGGATTTAGCTCAGTAGTGGTATCAACATGAGACCTCTTCTCAGGTAAAGCCTGGCCCTTGACTATAGTGCAGAAAAACATTTCAGGACCAACCAGAGTGAAGAACAGATATTTAGACAATGAGGCATGCAGGAAAAGGAGACCACACACCAAAGGCATGGGTGTGGGCTTCTCAGGAGCAAGAGCCCCCATCGGTGCCTTTAGGTGACATCCTGTATACACGATTATGTGTCTTTGTAAGTTACATTGTTCAAAGAATGTAGTTTATAATAAGGTTTAAACAGAGTTACAAGTTAAGTAAAGTTTAAAAAAATATGTGAGCTGCTTTGCATATTTATCCTAAGGACTCTTTTTTTCTTTTGTAAATAAAATTGTACGGTGGTCTCCTGAGGTGAAGTGTTTATATTTGGGGTCTATAATGCTAACAGGGAGCAGCGCAAGCCCACAAGCATTCCGGAGCCAAGAAAGCATCATTTGCTGTTTTTGAAACCCTTTGGGAGACTAAGCACTGCCTTTGTAGCAAGCTTAATTTTTCCAGTTGTACTGTAGATTCTTGACTGTCAGCCAGTGAGAAATTCAAAATAGCTATGAGGAAACGTTTATTTTCCTACATACGTGTCTTTAATTTTTCCATCTTTCTCTCCTGCCTCAGTAACTTATGTGGGGGCTGCAGGGTGGGGGAGAAGATCAGGAAACAATAGTGATAACAGCCAGTATTTACTGAGTATATCTAGTATCTCTCCTGTCCCCTGTCCTTCCTACAGGTGACAGTCCTCTCTCAGGGTCTGTGGGGGATTGATTTCAGGACTGTCTGCCCAGAGTGCTCAAGTCCAGGGACACCTCAGTCCCTTACATAGAATGTCGTATTTACATGTAACCTGTGCATGTCATTATGCATGCTTTCAGTCACCTCTAGATTGGTTATCATATCTAACAACTGTAGGGATCATATGTGTTGTGTGTTTAGGGAACAGTGACAAGAAATGCACGACAGACGTTTTTCCGTCCCACACATTTTGATGTGAGGCCCGTTGTATCTGTGGAGCCTGCTGATGCTTCAGGCTTTTGAATCCAATGGCTATGACCACCTTGGAGGGCAGGCATCATTAACTTTCCCACAGACAAGGAAGCTTAGGCAGAGAAAGAACAGTGTCCTGGAGTAGGCTCTAGGATTCAGATCCCTGCTGCTCACTCGTTTAACTCTTCAAACGGTTGTGTAGTTTCAAGGGCTCAGGAGACAGATGATCTGGATGGTTTGTGCCTCCCACGCGTAAGGTCCTGGTCTCACATCCCCAGAATCCCCACAAAAAGCCAGACACGTTTGTGCGTACTTGTAATCCCTGTGATGGGGAGATGGGAGGCAGAAACGGTGGATTCTGTGGGTTTGTAGCTCACCTAGCGTATTTGGCAAAGTTCCAGGCTGGAAAGAACCTGTCTCAAACACAAGGTGGAAGGCGCTTGAAGACTGAGACCAGAGGAAATCATCCTCTGACCTCTACGTACACACCATTCATATGTACACCCATGTATGCACACACACGTCACACACACAAATACTTGAGTGTGCTATGTTAGTGTGAGGTTTAGCATTTTCCAAATAAAATATATATATATATATATATTATATGTATAGTGTTTTTACTGAAAAACCAAGGACTAAAGAATTTCAGCCAGTGGGGTGGCCATACACGTTGCCGTCTAAAAGCGAAAGGATGTGTTTGTTATTCAGTAAGTATGTGCCCATACCGTCCATCATCTGTGACTGATGTCTGTCTTTCATGTTTTGACTTGCAGGGGGATTCCTCAATGTCAATGTGAGTGAGATCAGTTTTGATGAAGTCCATCAGCTCTTCTCCAAGGACACAGAGATTGGGCCAGGAGGCCACTGGAGGCCCAAAGACTGTAAGCCCAGATGGAAGGTGAGGCAGTTTTCCTCAAAAGCTACATGACAGTAACTAAGCATTTGGAGACAAGAATGTGCTTGGTTCAAAACAGGGAGCAAAATAAGTTTTCAGTTTTGATGAAATGAAAGCATTTGTATATTTAATGCACAGCCCTTTACAGTTTGCTCATGATCAGTGCTGTTACTTTGAAGACTGCAAGTGCACCTGTGTATGCACAGGGTGTGTTCAGTTCAGGTGTTCGGGGTTTCCGGGGAAGAAGTGAGACCAGTTTAACTCGGAGGATGGATTTCTCCTTGGTACTACCTTGTTCAGGGGAGAGGCCGCTGCCAAAGACTGCTGATACCTGCAGGCATTTCCCACCAGTTTCTGGAACTGAGAACTCACAGGCAGGATGCTAACGTCCTTATTTTCAGTTGCGTCCAGCTTGGGCCTGCCTCGCTGTGTCTCAGTCAGTCACCAGAGGCCTCTCAGAGGTCATGCTCAAACTTGAAAAGACAGAAGACAGGCGTCTGACGGGTCAGAATTCTATTTAATATTTTGTTTGAAAAACCGTAAGGGAGTATGTCAGCCTCTTGTGCACTAAAACGAAAAGCAAGCAGAAACCAAGCAAACACAAAGAGGACTGGCTGGAAGTTGCTCTCAGTACTGTGACACTGACCCTGAATGTAAATGTGTGTAGTGGTGCTGTGAGTCCAGGTGGTACTGCGCATCTGAAAGGAAGGCAGACGTCATCAGACAGGTGTTGTGCCCTCAAGGATTTTGGTGTTACTTTAACCTGGAAATAGTTCTTTAAAAAAATACCAGTGTTCTAACATAATTTGTATCACACACAAAAGAAATCCCAAGTAGGGAGGAGAATTATATGCTGTTCATCATCTGATAAAGATCATGTGACATCATTGACCTGGCCTTGAGCTCCCTCTGTTCAGGGATGCATGCATTTCTCTGTGCATCTCTCGTGTGCAGCAGAACACTTTGCAGGAATAAATGACACAGTTTCGTGGAGTTGGCCTTTTGAGAATAGTAAATGCCTTTGTGGCCTGACTAAATCAGTTTTCTCACGACCTCAAGCATGTTACAAAGCTGTTTCAATGGATGGATTTCAGTATGAATTTGGGAAATAACTCTTTTTTTTTTTTTTTTGGTTTTTACGCGACAGGGTTTCTCTGTTTTGGAGGCTGTCGGTCCAGCCCGGCCTCGAACTCACAGAGATCTGCCTGCCTCTGCCTCCCGAATGCTGGGTTTAAAGGCGTGTACCACCACCACCCGGCTGGGAAATACTCTTTTATAATTGCATAAATTATTTTCATATTTCTTGCTAGATCCTCTTTGAACAGTTATATCTATATATGAGACAGTCTACTTTAGAAAATGTTTTTGAAAAGTGGGTTACTTTTATTACTTGAGTGGTGAGTGCATATGCTGAATGCTATGTAAAAAAAAAAAAACTATAATCATGGCGACTGAGGGATGCCATGGAGGCGTGACATGTGTATCATACTGCTGGGATGTCAGGGATCATAAAAAGTGTTCATTCTGCTTACTGTGGTTTGTGATGGGTCTTAAATTTTCTAGCATATTTTCTTTTACTTTCTGGGACAGCTGGATTCTGAGAGAAGGAAGAGAGCAGTTACTAGACACAGGCTAAAGTCTGCTCTCCGCTTGAGTCTTAGTCTTTGAGGCTCCCTTTCTTTAAAAACCAAGGTCCATTTGCACCGCAGTCTTCCAATATTAGAGTCCAGAACTCTATGGGTTTTCCTGATGCTGCATGGTGGAGAGGAAGATTCTTCACAGGTCAGGCATCCTATGGAGGTGGGCATGTTTCCACAGGGGAATTGGAGAGGAACAAATAGGTGCTTTTCAGCTGATTTCCTGTGATGTTGGCTTTTCCGTGCAGGGTTCACCTGAGGTCTGATACCTACAGGGTAAGGCTTGATGCTGCTGTCCTAGTTACAGGCTCAATATTCCTCATCTCACCCAAGGTCCCTCGAGGATGGGTCTTAGCCACCTGCTTCAGCCTACATGAGATGCCCAGTGACACAAGGCAATTCTTGAACAAAGTCATCAGATTTCATACTCTGGCAGAGGGAACAGACAAGAACTTCTTTATCAGCCTGACATTTGTTCCTGTAGGCACCGGAAATGAGGGAGACAGGAATGGTAGAACTGAAACACCCCAGGAGAATGAGAACTCAGTAACTCACACTTGCTTCCATCTAATTCAGTGGCAACAGCTAGGTGGGCTCTAAACCAACCTGCTGTAAACATGTTCCACGCTGGGGCGTGTGGTGTGTCTCGGAGTATGAGCCAGTGCAGGGCCTTGCTGGGCGAAGTCTCCGTGGCAGACGCTCTCTTGATTGTTTCTTCATAGTGTGCCTAAGAGGACGTAAGAGGGGGAGAAGCACACAGATAAGTCAGTCCGTCCAGTGGTTTTGAAGTGGGAAGTGACTGAATGGGGTAGTTTTCTTGAACAAGAGATGGTGAGGAAGGACTTGGAAAGATAAAGTGTAGAAGGCAGTGACCAGACGTCTCTCATCTCCTCTGGTGCATCCACCGGAGAGGGGCTTCTGCAAGTCCACACGTGTGGGAGAAAGACTGGTGACCCCCGGCATGAGTGACCATGGGACACCAAACTCTTTTTCTCAGCAATAAATTACAAACTATTAAGAATATTGCTTCACAGATAGGAATGCTAAGTGAATTTTAAAGCTATTAACACACACACACACACACCGCTTAGGCATGTCACTTAAATTGTGGCAACATCTGATTGTAATTTGTATATGCATATGCTATTAAAATGTCATGTTTAGTTCCTCTTGTTTGCCAGGACACCTTCTTTTATAACATCCTCAGTTTCTTACTAATATAAAAACAACCACCACCACCAAACCTCCAAACCCAAACCAGCTCCTGGGGTTTTAAATGTCCCACTGGAGAACTCGCTATATGGAAGGCTATAACTTGGTATTTACTGATCCTTACATGTTCAGCTCCTCCACCTAATTATATTGAATTCATGTGGACTATCTGTAATACAGACTCTCACCCATTTGGTGGCTTCTTTACTTAAGTATCTATAATTTTCCTGAGCTCAGAGATACCTTTTTGGAGCAAATCAAATGGGAGTGGGCTCCACAGGGCATCGGTCATTCCTATGACTTAGCAAATGTGAAGCCGCCTATGGGACCATGGCGATACCAGCCTCAGAGATTGGCTCTGTGCTAGCTGTCACACCAGTAAAAGACAGAGAAGCCTGGCCCTTCTTGTCTAGATGCCTCAGTTTTCTGAGCTGGATCTTCTCCTTCTAAGCATACCCTTGATTCAGTCTTGCTCCTTTGCAGTTCTGGCGGTATGTAAGGCTCGAGGTCAGTTTTTGTTTTTCCGGGTGTTGGGACTCAAATCCAGGACTCATGCTTGCTAAGCACGTGTTTCACCTTTGACTGAACCCCCAGCTCCATTGTTGATTTTGTTGTTGTTGTTGTTGACAACACGTAAGGTCCTGTCCCGATTTTAGAAGTAAAATGAGTCCCAGAACTTAGCATTCTCAATTATTTGTAGTTATTTTATTCATTTGGGTCAGTATATTTGGTCTAGATAAAAATTTCAATGAACTCCAGGTTTATGGCTCTTTGAAAATCTGTAATATAGAGTGGTATAGACATGTTTTAGTAATCTTTTCATTTGTTAAGTTGCTTGAAAATTCTGTGAGTCTTGAAATTCATCATGTATAGAAAATTTACTGTGTCAGTTTTGAGTTTTATCAGCAAGTTAACAGCTGCAACAAAGCCAGTATAACTCCGAAATTAAGGAAAATGAATTAGAAGACACTTTAGCTTTGTGAAGGCCAGAATCTGACCTATAAGATTTTGTTTCTTCAGCAAAGTTTGAATCCTAGAAGTGTGTGTGTGTGTGTGTGTGTGTGTGTGTGTGTGTGTGTGTGTAGGGGGTGAGTGATACTTAAGAATTGTTCAGAGTACATCTGTCCCTCCTACCCCCACGTGACCTCAGTGGCTGTGAAGCAAGGACCGCACCTGTGTGAACACACGGTGTAAGTCTGATGAGAATGTTCGCAGGGCTATGACTTGAAGGCACTGGAAGTTTCCAAGGCTCAGCTGTTGCATGCACTTGCCCAGCTTGCTGCAACCCTGTCTTGCTCATGCTGCAGGTGTTCTGTTGCTCTGTTTTGAAGGTGGCAGTTCTCATCCCCTTCCGTAACCGCCATGAACATCTTCCCATTTTCTTCCTGCACCTGGTTCCGATGCTCCAGAAACAGCGGCTGGAATTTGCCTTTTATGTCATCGAACAGGTGAGGACAATTTTCAGAATGCCACCAAATACTCTAGAACTTCAATTTCAGATGGAGTTTGATTAAGAATCCTCAGCCAAAGTCCAGCGGTGACTCATCCTTAGATTTACAATTGAATGAAATCATGTTTGGGATTGAACCTGTATTTTTTTCTTGTAATAATTGCAATTGGTGAATTGAGCAGATGCCATGGTTGACTTTGAGATGATGGCTTCCGTATACTTTATGGCTTTATACTGCCTACTGGATTGTCAACCTGGTTTATAAGTAACTGGTTGATGCTCATTTGCGGGGTTGAATGCTGGACTTGTAACATTGTTCCCCTTGTGCTTTTCTTATGAGTGTGCTTTGTCCTAACAAACCTCTACTAAAGGCAATTTCCTTGGGGACACTGCTTCTTTTGTAACACAGGATACTTGGGATATTTAGTCCTGTGCAGCTCTCTGGGGTTCATGACGGTGCATGTTGGAGTGTCATCAATGTCCTATCCTATTCTGAATTGCGAGTGTCCTTAGACACATCCACTGTGTTCTACTTAGAAAGTGCTTTCCGTTTCTGCCCTATGAGTTTTGATACATGAAGTGAAGGATAAAGGTTTCATATTGTTTTTCGAAGTGAAGCATTGATAACGTTTGATGGGGGATTCCTTTGTCTGGGGTGACTACTCCTGCCTAGCCTTGAAAGCTAATGTTGCCTCAACCATATTAGGTAACTAGGGATACCTAAGGAGAGCCAGGTAGGAATCCTTAAAGAGAGAAGTGGTATGTAATGGGCATTTTCTGTTCGGTCTTTGTAGTTTCCCATGTTTACAATTACATGTCTTGGTAGCAGAGCCTTAGTTGTTTCTGTTACACACACACACACACAGCTTGTCAGCTACACTTAGGATGATGTGAGCATAGGACACTATCCCTTTCATGGCAGAGACCAGCTCAGTAAGGAAATGCCCATCCAATGAGCCAATGTCTGACAGGTCAAAGAAATTACATAGAGAATCAAATCTGTGATGCCCAGGATCCCTTCCAGATGGGAGTCTAGAGTTCTTTCTGAACAAGAGATAAACAGGAGGAGAATAGAATTCATAAACAAGTACTGGCAAAACAAGCAAACAAAAACTCCGTTCCATTTATGCAAACCGGCATAGTCTACATAGAAATGAAGTGGTTTTGCTTTGCTGTGGCAGTCTGTGCCTTTGTTTAAAGACTAGAAGTGCAGTTATTTCATTTCTATTCATCTGTGAAGCTCTGTCTCAGAAACCTAAAATAGTGTACTAACCTTTGAAGAGAGGCCTCTCTTTCTGTAGCCTCAGCGGTCCGCAGTGTATTCTGTACTCAAACATATTGGCTGTTTCATCTCTATTGCTGTGATAAAATACCCTGATAAAAGGCAGCTCAGGGGTAAGGACTTATTTGAGCCGACAACTCCATGTCACAGTCCATCATGGCAGGGACTTGTAATAACCACCACTCGAACAGCCAGCAGCTGAGAATAAGTGTGCTCACCTGCGTGCTGGCTTAGCTCAGACCCCTTTCTCCACTCGCACAGTTCCAGACAGGCAGGAAACAGTGCCACCTACAGTGGACTGGCCCTGCCCACACCAGTTAACTTAATTATGGTCCCCACGGACACGCCCATGGGCCAGCCCAATATAGACAGGCCCTCATTGAGGCTCAGTTCTGGGGTGATCCTAGGTTGTGTCAAGTTGACAATTAAAGCTCGCCATGACACTGGCGTTTCCAATCACATTGCATTCTTTCCCACGCTTATCATGGCTATTGAGTATGTAGAGTCTAGTTTCTTACTGATTTATGGGGGTCCTTTTTTATGCCTTTGCTCTTCGTATAGATTAGGAAGGCTCTGTTTCGTCTTTTTCTGTTATTTTAATTGAAGTGTCTTTTTTGTTGGTCTGCAGAATTCTTTGTGTAGTCTAGTTGTAGGTATTTTGTGTGTCTTGCTTGGCGAGTATTTATTTATCTTCAGACCATGGTCTGCCCTTTAATGTCTTGATAGTATTTGTTTTTCCCCCTTCAGTGCTGGGATTAAACCCAGGGCCCTGCACCTGCTATTTAAGGACTCTACCCCCGAGATACATCCCCAACCACGGACAGGGTTCTATTGAAAAGTAAAGGTTTTAGTTTTAGTACAGTCTAGTTACTTGATTTTTTTCATAGTTCCTGATTCTTGTTTAGCAGTTGAGAATGGTTCTTGGGTACTTTCAGAATGTTTTCCTGCAGAACATTCGTGGTTTTAACTCTCTCATTTGGGCTAACCCATTACTCTGAGTTAATCTCTATATGTGGTGTGAGGCAGGGATGGAGGGCTGGGCATTTCTCTTTTGACATGTGGGTTTCCAGTTATTTCATCACCACTTATAAATCAGCTAATCTTTTCCTCGTTAGCCCCTTTGTTGGAAGTGAGTTCATCCTTGTGGGTTAATGGCTTTATATCTCACTTCATCTTCGGAGAGGAGGCAAAGCCACGCACACCCCTCAGTCCTCTGGCTTTCTGGGGTGCGCTTCTGTTGCCCTGTACTATCAAATGTGTGCTCCTGAGTTATGCTGGTCAAGGCTGAGATTCAGACCCAGCAGACTTGAACGTTAAAATGCAGACCTCAGCTGCTCTGGTCAATGTTCAATGTTCTCATCACATACTCAGAGTCATTCAACAGTGCCAGACTCCAGAGAGAGATCACCCCCTGCATACTGTGGGTGGCTGATGTTAAAAAAAAAGCTAGCAGTTTCTGATTGCAATGTAGATCCACAGCTACAGCTATCGGGAAAGCCGCTTAGCATTCTGACTTGTTAACATTTTTTAAGAAGGTCAATTTTTATAATGTAAGTTGCCATCTTGAAAGGCACACACGCTTCGACCAGGCATCACCTCACATGCTTTTAATCTCAGCACTTGGGAGGCAGAGACAGTTGAATCTCTGTGAAAAGGCCAGCCCAGTTTACGCAGGAAGCACCAACCAGACCAGGCAGAGCTACACAGTGAGATCATGAGAGGATGAGTGAGGAGAATACAAAAGCTAGAGACATGTCAACATGTGCACCAGGAATAAAACTTGAAGAAAGGTCACATTAACCACATAGTAAAAGCCAAGAAATGGTTTTGTTTTTTTGTTTTAATTCGGAATAAACCACAAAAAAGAAAAACTTTTAATCAGATATTCTTCAATCCTTAGTAAAAAATAGTCTTCAGTAAAAATCTGATTAATTGCCACAAAAAAATAGCAGCCTTTAGTAATACAAGTTAGGACACACTTTGTCCATTATTAATTTTGTTATATATTCTGAGAATGGAGGAAAAATTACAAAAGGGCTTCTTACAGAAACAGGAAAGCACTTTTAAGGGAACAGGACAGAAAGACCAGAACTCACTTCAACAAAAGGTTAGTGAGGAAAAGATTAGATAGCTGTTTTGTAAATGGAGATGAAATATCTCACCCACAGTCAAGAGCAGAGACAAATGAATACACTCATGCCTGCGTCTCCTTTCATCTTCTCTGTTCGCATGTAGTTCAGGACCCAGAGCTAGGGAATGATACCGCCCTCAGTGGGCTTCGTCTTACCATGCTAATCAGTGCAGTCGAGGTACATCTCTCACAGCCATGCCCACAGGTCAGCCTGTTCTGTAGACAACTTCTCATTGAGACTCCATCACACTAGCCAAAGCCCCTTACTGTTCTGGAAGGGAGAGACAGTAAATTATCATGTGATATGTAGACAACTTTAAAAACCACAATGGATTCAATGTAGAGAGTGAGCCATAGGAAGGAAACAGAGAGACCAGTTAGAACACTTCTGCAGTCATCGAAAAGGATATGATGGCAACTTGGGCTCTGGTGGCACAGGACATTGCCAACAGTGGTTGGGCAGGGTTTTACTTAGAGTAGAATCATTCACTGATACAGTGATGTGCAGAGCATGAGCACTAGGGAGATCTCCTTGACTTTTAGTATTTTATCCACACATTAATAGGCAGCCACAGAGCTCCAGGTTGTAAAGAAAGTGTCCACAAAGGAGACACAGTCAAGCAAGGTAAGGAGAGAACAAAGAAACCCAAAGACAGAATCAACAAAGACTCACAGTCGGGACCCGTGGAGCTGAGGGAAAATGAAACCATTTCTGAAATGAGAATGTTTGCCACAGAGGAAGAGCCCTGGGAGTAGAGTGTCAGTGGGACTGAAATGTGGTAGGTGACAGCCTTTGAAAGAATGGCTGGGAGGCAAAATAACTCCTACAGCAGGACCAAAAAGAAAGTAGAGTCTACGAGAACCACTGTTGTGTGAGGATAACCACCCTCCGAGAGGCCCATGACATACAAGATGAGTTCCCTGGGGAACCACTACCACAAAAGAGGCAGTCTTGGTTTGAGAGTAGGCCGCCGGCATATAACTGCCTCAGCCTGCCGGTCTTGGAAGGCTAGCTGCTATGTCTTGAGGTTGTCTGGTATGGCCTGTGGAGAATGAATGACTTCCTGGCATCATCTTGCCTGTCATGTGAATGAGCAACTTTGAGAGTGCATCTCTCACCCACCCTGACCAGGCCTCCAGCCGCAGCCTTGGAGGGAAGGTCTCGCTGCTCTGCTCAGAATCCCAATTCTGTAGATGACATGTGCAGCATCGTAAATGACCACGGCCTGTTTTATTTCTGTTCGTTTTCCCTAGTACTAGGGATCCAGCACTGTCAGCGAGTTATATCCCCCACCTATGACTTTTCTTAAGTTACCAAGTGTTGCTATGACTTTTGTTTTGTTTTGTTTTGTTTTTCGAGACAGGGTTTCTCTGTATTGTTTTGGAGGCTGTCCTGGAACTTGCTTTGTAGACCAGGCTGGCCTCGAACTTACAGAGATCCGCCTGCCTCTGCCTCCTGAGTGCTGAGATTAAAAGCGTGCACCACCAATGCCCGGCTTGCTATGACTTTTAACATATTAATGTATGACTAATACACTTACTCATCAGAATTCTGGAAAAACCACAGCAGCAAAAAAAAAAAAAA